ATGTTACCCCTTGACTTGTATCCCCCTCTTTTCTTCCCCATATCTTGCCCCTGAACTTCCCTCGTCTCCTCATACTCTTTATCTCTCTCTTCCCTCATATCTCCATTTCTCCTTTCCCCCATTCCCCATTCTTCCCTCCCCCCTCACATCTCTCTCGCTCCTCCCTCATCCCCTCGTTATCTCCTCACCCTCCTACCCCTCCCCCTCCCTCATTCCCAACCCACTGTATCTCTTCCCTTTCCCCCTCACATCTCATTCTCACTCCTCCCTCACCCCCTCATATCTCCACCACCCCTCTTCCCCTCACCCCCACCCCACCCCAACCCTAATCTCTCCCCTCCTCTCCCCTCCTCCCTTCTCCTCCCTCTAACCCCACAAAGCAGGCCCCTTCACGGCTCTACGGCGACGACAGTGCCATCGTCGCCGCGGAGGAGGAGGACAGTGCCAGCCCGACCTCCAGATCTCGGTCGTCACCTCCACCCGCCTGGTACCCACGACGCTCATAAGTACCCGCACGAGAGCCATACCCACCACGGTGTTCAGGGAGATCACGCAGACGAGCATCTACCCGACGACCATCGTCAGAGAAGAAGTGATCACGTCGTGGTGCCGCCGGTGGTGCAGACGCAGACGCAGGTGAGAGAGGGGGTGGGTGGGGGGGGGGGGGTGAGAGGGGGTTGGTGGGTTGGTTGGGTGGGAGGTGGGGTTGGTTGGGGATGGGGAAAGAGGGGGTGGGGTGGGGATGGGAGGTGTGGGTTGGTTGGGTGAGGGTGGGTGGTTTGGGGAAAGAGGGATAGGTTGGTTGGGTGAGAGGGGGGGGAGGGTTGGTGGGTGAGAAGGAGTGGGTTGGGGATGTGGAAGGGGTGAGTTGGTGGGGGAAAGATTGGGGGTGAGGAGGTGGGTTGGGGATGGGGAGGGGGTGGGTTAGTTGGACGAGAGGGGGTGGGTTGGTAGGGTGATGGGAGGTGGGTTGGTGGGTGAGTTGATGGGGGAAAGATGTTAAGTTGGGGATGAGAGAGGGTGGGTTGGGTAGGTGAGAGAGAGGAGGGGTTGGTAGGGTGACAGAGGGGTGGTTGGTAGGGTGGTTAGAAGGTGGGTTGGTGGGGTGACAGAGGGTGTGGGTTGGTAGGTGAGAGGGGGTGGGTTGGTGGGGGAAAGATGTTAGGTTGGGGATGAGAAAGGGTGGGGTAGTGGGTGATAGGAGGTGGGTTGGATATGGAAGTGAAGTGGGAGAGTGAGAGGGAAGAGATATCGAGAAAGTAGGGTAGGGGAGGATTAGAGAAGAGAGGATAAGCAAGCAACGAAGAAATATGAGAATAAGGGTAAGGAAGAAGAGGAAAATATGGAGACAGGGACAGATCGGGAAGAGTGTGAGGAAGGAAAAAAAGAATGGAAAGGGAGAAAGAGAAGGAGAGAAGAAAGGAAAATATGGAGAAAAAGGGACATAGACAACAAAAGAGGGAAGACGTGAACAGAAAGGATAAGAATAAGGGAAAGAATGATAAGGAAGAAGAGATAAAGAAACAGCAAAAGAAGGAGGAAATAGCGAATAAATTAGGAATAGGAAAATGAAAAGAAATAAAGGGCAAGGTCGAAAGAAAGAGGAAGAGAAGGCAGGAGAGAATAAGGCACGGTAGAATAGGGAAGAAGGGGGGAGGGAACGGGAAGGGAAGGGAGGGACAAGAGGCAACTTATAGGGTTTGGAAGGAAAGAGAAAAGGGTTGAAGAATTTCTTGAAAGGAGGAGAAAGTTTACCTTTTATTTTTATCTTTTTTACTTTCTGATTATGAGAAAAATTATTCGATTGATGGCATCTCTCTCGTTTTCCTTTTTTTTTCTTCTTTTTCATGTGATTTCATTATCCGGTTAGAGATCAAATTTTGATTGTCGTCTAACAAATGAAAGATAAAAAATAACAGAATTGCAAATATCATTGAAAGTAACATTCATATTTGCTAAAAAAAAAAAAAAAAAAAAAAAAACTAAGTGAAAGTTGAATGAATGAAAATCTTCACTAATCAAATTTTAAACTTTCCATAATCATAAAAAATAACAACAAACTTCTCTTATCAAACTCAGAAAGAACAAAAAATCAAATCTAATTTAGAAGAAACCCTCCTATCAAAGTCAACAACACAAACGCATCTAATTAAAAAAAAAAATAATTAAAAAAACATCAAATCTAAAAAATAAATAAATAAATCTAAAAACAAATCCAATCTAAAATCCAATCTATATAAAAAAAAATAATATAAATAAATCCCAAACCTTTCCCTTCCACCTTTTTTCAATCTAAAATAACCACTACTACTACTACTAATAATAATAATAACAATAACAATAAAAATAAATAAAAAATCTTTTGCCCTTTATACCCCCAGCTCCTGACGGAAACGAAGTACGTGACCCGCGCTCGCATCATCACGGACACACAGTACCTGACGCAGACGCAGATCCAGCAGGTGACGGCCACGGACGTCAACACCCAGTTTCAGATCTC